CGATTGCCGTCAATTCTGATTGATAGCTTTGGAGGAATGCTGTGTCTACCGGATGGTGTGTTCTTTCTGGGAGATAAAGACATATATGGATCTAAGCTTCTTATACGAAACTGTTATCTGCAATTATGTGAATTAATTGAAAAGGATCGCGAACAAGATGGCCCGGCCTTTATCGGTTGTACTATTACTGGTACACCTGGTATCGGAAAGACACATTTTGGCCTATATCTTCTCTTTTACATTCGCTACAATTATCCTAATGCTATAATAGTCTGGCAACGCAATGAAAGAAATTGTTATCACTTCTTACCTGATGGTAATGTGCAAAAAGGGGATATTAGCCTGTTTGACGAGACACTAGATAATCCTAATAACTTCCTTATAATCGATGCGCAAGCTTTGGAATTGAGATATAAGGCCTATATGATCCTGCTCACGTCGCCGAGAGTGGAAAGATTTAATGAGGCTCTTAAATGGTCAGGTTTTACTCAATATTACATGCCAGTTTGGTATCAAGAAGAAATCATCACGCTTTGGGACTTTCAATATAAGAATAAGAAAAATAGTAAAGGTGAAGAGTTCACATTTGAATTAGTTGGGGAATTGTTAGGCAAGTGGGGCCCAATACCCAGATCGGTTCTTTTAAAGTGGGACAATGTGGCATATCAGCGGAAATACCAACAATTAATTAATGAAGTCAACTTAGAAGATTGTATAAACTCTATTGATAAGGCGGGCATGCCTACAGGCGCCATTAGCGGTAGGCTTGTACATCTTGACCCAGATCCAATGTTTGCAAGTGCAGTATATCGTTTTGCTTCTCCGAGGGTGTTTGATAGGATTATTCAGGAATATGAAATTAGAACAAAGAGGAACGCTCGTGATTTAATCATGAGCAGTCACGAATATCCAAAGATTGCCGGATTTCGGGGAAATATATTCGAAGATTTTGCCCATAGGGAGTTGCAAAATGGTGGTACGTTTAGGGTGCGATGCCTGAATGATGATAACTCAGAGGTAAACGAAAGAAATATCAAGGAGATGGAGTGTAACTGGTTCACGACACTGAATGAAGCACATGAGGAATATTATAACAGACCAAAATCAAAGATATTTGCATCGGTTGATTCTTTTAGCCTCGATAGCAAAACCTTGGACCTGTACCAAATGACTGTCTCAACAGATCATGGCATTAAGGTAAGGGACAATAGACATAATTGAATTTATAGTTTGTCGCTATCACTTTTATCACTAACTCAGATTGTATAGATAAAAGGGCTTAATGACCTACTTGCATGGAGAAAGGATGTGAATGACTTTAATTTATACTTTGTCGTGCCACCGGACATTTTTAAAACATTCCCCACGCAAAAATACAAGACAGCCAAAGACGAAGATTACCAAAAAATTCCGAGATGGATTAACAATATCACCCAATATGCACTAGAGATCAACTTGGGAATTAGTAATAAAAGTGCAAAAAAACGATCTAGTGATTCGATGTCAGGAGACTATGAAAATGAGGAAACGACAGGGGGGACGAATAAAGACGTGAAAAAACGAAAAATGGAAGAGAGTGATGCAATGTTGGGAGACGACGAAATTGGGGAAACGTCAGGGAGCAATGTGATTTCAGGACAGCTTGATTTGAAGCGATCAAGTAATGTGATAGACAATGAAAGTGAGGATGCGTCAAAGAGTAAAGTCGTGAAAAAACGGAAAACAAAAAAGGTTGTAGAGGATGAAGGTGGTGATCTGTTCATTCATGAATTATTTAGTATAGTGAGGGATCGCACGATCTTATTTATATTTTTGCTAATAATTACATAAGTAAAAAATTATATATATTATTGTCAAAGGTGATTATATAGTAGATAGATATATTAAAATATTATAAAGAAAAGCTATATTTATTCTTCCGAAATTTCACAATCACCATATAAATATATTGTTTCCATATCACAAGCTATTTACAATTTCATATCTAATGGGTTAATGCTTCTTTTTGTTTGCTTTATTCTATATATTTGATGTCTGTAACTTTGGAGGAATTGTGCAGTTCGTGGCTGATCCTCTTTTCCTTCTAAAATACAGTCCTCGAATATTTTATGAGTAAGCTCTTTCTTGATAAGAGACTTTTTTAGACCTTTAGCCTTTATCATATTTTTTCATGAATTTTCACATATAACACTATAGCATTTTGCACGAACTTCAGCATAGCCAATAGCACGATCTCCTCCATTTTCGTTCTTCCACTTACCTATAACTTTTGTATTTTTTAAGACATGTTTACCTTCATTGATTATCCACTAATCTTCTGGAAGATTTTTTACTACCCAATGATCTTCTGGATAGTCACTAAAATCAAATAAATCACAATCATCGATCATATCTTGATAAATATTTTCGGTTTCAATTTCTATGATTAAAGAAT